CCTCTTGTCGATGGTTCCGGCCCGACTTCGGCGGCTGCCGGGTTCCTGGGCTCCCGGGTTTCCGCCCTCGGGCCCAAACGCGTGGCTCACGGGCCGCGGGGCTGGACCCCCGCGGCGGGGGCCCCCGGCCTTGTAAGGCGCCCTGCACGTGCAGGGGGCCGATCGGCGACTCCAAAGGGTGTGGTTTGCAAAGGGTGTGGCTCCCAGACACGCTCGCGTCGTAAAAAAAACATGGCGGCAAGGTTTGGGCTATTTTCGGCCCCCGGGGGCCCTCGCCGGGCCTCGGGACCGTCAAAAAAATACCCAGGACGAAAAACCGGTCCCAAGGGAAAGGGTCGGGACTTCCAGGGACACCGCCCTGAAAAAATCAGGACGCCGCATGTCTGGGTTTGCAGCCCGCACCCTGGGGAGCATCCTGGGGGGCACCCTATAGGGGGCGCGCGGGGACTTCGATGGAGTTCTCCCGCGCCCCGAGGAGGCCCGACAAGGACAGGCCCCCCAGGCCCCAACGGTGCCGATCGCAAACCACACCCCGGCGCAACCATACAATGAAGTCGCCGAGCCGAATCCTCGGAGGTCCGGGGGGCCCCCGCCCAGGCCCCAGTCCCCCCCTCCCCGGAGGGCCAGAGACCAGGCACGGGCATCGAAACAGCTCCAAGCAGTGCCTCCACGTGCCCTGCAGACGAACCCTCGGAGCTCTGGGGGGCCCACCCCCTTACTTTCCAGGGCCCCCCCCCAACGGCCCCCCGAGGGCCACAGCGCGGGCACGGGTCCCAGACCCCCCCCCCGACGTCGTGATTTCTGTCACTGCGTCGACCCCTGGAGGCCTCGACCCCTTCCCCTGGACCGGCTCTTCATCGTGAGCCGATCGTTCTTTGACGGCCCCGAGGGCCGGCAAAGGCCCAAGGCCGAAAATGGCAAACAGCCCCCCAAAAAACTCCCGTCACGACTTTTCCATTGCCCAGTCGTCGCAACATGGGCCTCCGTGGGGCCGGGCGTGCCGCGTGGGCCCCCGCCCAGCCCCGCTGGCGCCCGGGATGGGGGGCAGCATTTGAGCAGGGACCGACCGTCCCGGCATTTTCCTATAGGCCTACCACGAAATTGTCTTAGCGCCCAAACATGTTCGAATAACAAAAACAATGTTCTTAGAACAGAAGCCAGATGTGGTAAAACACGACAGTCCCAGCCAGAAATGTTCTAAGAACATTTCGCGGAGACCACAAACAAAGGTTATTAGAGTATCCTTTGGGAGGCCTATAGGCGAGCCCGGACGCTTCGCCACTGCTTGAGTGTCGCGCCCCCCCCTCCTCCCCGGCCCGGCGGCGCACGGGCGGCCCGCTCCCTGGCGCTAAATAGAGCAGCTGGCGAGACGCGCCGCGGTCAGGCCACCGCCCGAGGAGGGAGGCGGAGGAGGAGGAGGAGGAGGGAGGAGGAGGCGGAGGAGGCGGAGGAGGAGGCGGAGGCTGGCCGTAGCCATTTTGGCTCAAGTCCGTAGCCGTTTTGGCTCAGGACTGGAGCGAACTGGCGAGGGGGAGGCGCGCCCCCGCCCGCGATCCTGCACCAGTCCCACTGGTTCAGACTTCCTTTTGTGAGCTCCTGTTGGAGCACCTCCCCTGTGGAGGGACGACGTACTCGACCGCCAGGCTGTCTGGCCCCGCCCGGCCCAGTGTCGCCCCCTTCCCCCCCCCCCTGCCCGGCGGCGCACGAGCGGCCCCCCTCTCTGGCGCTCTAGCGCAGCTGGCGAGACGCCCCGCGGTCGGGCCACCGCCCGAGGAGGCAGGAAGGGAAGACGGAGAAGGATGAGGGAGGAGGAGAGGAGGAGGAGGAGGAGGAGGCGGAGGCGGAGCTAGGAGGGCTAGAGAGGGGAGGAGGAGGAGGAGAGGAGGAGGAGGAGAGTGGAGGAGCTAGGAGGGGAGGAGGAGGAGGGGAGGAGGAGGAGAGAGGAGGAGGAAAGGAAGGGTCGCTGTCCGTCCCCCCCCGCCCGCCCAGGGTCTGCGCCCCCCCCGGCGCGGCGGCGCACGGGCGGGCCCGCCCTCTGGCGCCATAGCGCCGCTGGCGAACGCGCCGCGGTCGGCCACCGCCCGAGGAGGAGGAGATAGGAGGAGGAGGGGAGGAGGAGGAGGAGGAGGAGGCGGAGGAGGAAGGAGGAGGAGGAGGATGGAGGAGGAGAGGAGGAGGAGGAGGAGGAAGGCGGAGTAGAGAGAGATGAGGAGGAGAGAGGAGGAGGGAGGAGAGGAGGGGGATGGAGAGAGGAGGAGGAGGAGGAGGTGGAGGAGGAGAGGAAGGAGGAGAGGGAGAGAGGAGAGGAGGAGGAGGCAGGAGGAGGAGGAGGAGGAGGAGGAGGAGGAGGAGGAGGAGGAGGAGGGGGAGGAGGAGCTAGGAGGAGGAGGAGGAGGAGGAGGAGGAGGAGGAGGAGGAAAGTAGCGCAAAGTAATGCAAAGCAATGCGAGGCAACACAAAGCAATGCAACACAATGCAAAGCAATGCGAAGTATTGCAAAGCAAAGCAGAGCAACGCAAACCAATGCATCGCAGAGCAGTGCAAAGCAAAGCAAAGCAACGCAAAGCAATGCACAGCAATGCTGCAAAGCACTGCAAAGCAATGGAGAGCGACACAAAGAAGTGCACAACAATGCAAAGCAAGGCAAAGCAATGCAGCGGAGCTACACAAAGCAATGCAACGCAATGACACGAAATGCAACGCAAGGCCAAGCAATGCCATGCAAGGCCAAACAATGCCAAGCAACGCCAAACACCGCGAAGCAATCCAATGCAATGCAACGCAGCGCAAAGCAATACCAAGCAATGCGAAGAGATAGAACGCAACGCAAAGCAATGCAAACCAATGAACACCACTTCGGCTCAAGTGGTGACGACGGTCGACAGCGACGGGCGGCTACAAGCCGGCCTGACAGGCACCGGCCCAATTACTGGCAACGACGGACGGCGGCGACGGGCGGCGACAACCCGGCTGGACCGGCACCGGGGCACACCCAGCTGCTGGCGGGGCCCAGATGGCTCAGAAGAGAAGCGAGAACTCCAGACTGCAAACGTTCGCTGTGTGGGGGAAATCAAAACCCGATCCGTGATCCTCGCGAGGAGGCCTCCTCCGACAACTCTCGGCTTCTCCAGCAACCACGCACCAGCGAGCCCGCGTGCATCTTTCGCGCGAGACCATATATTCTCCCACCCGCAGCTTCCCCCCAGTGGAGGAATGACCGCACAACTCTACAGACATGCGGCGACCGACGCTTGACAAAGGAAGAGTGTCGAGTGTCGAGGCCGTGACATATTTCCCTCACTAGGCTTGCTCCCCTCCTCGCTTCCTCCCTCCCTCCCTCCTCCCTCCCTCCCTCGCTTCCTAAGCCCTCCCCAATCCCTCCCACCAGTTCTCTCCTCCGTTCCTCTCAAACCCGCGTTCCCTCCCACCCTGCCTTCGTCTCCTCCCTCCTGTCTTCCTTTGCTTCCCCCATCCCTTCTCACTCTCCCTCACTACCACCTTCCTTCTCTATCTCGTTCCATCCCTCCCTTCCTCTGTCCCTCCCTATCTCCCTCCCCTCATCCCTCCCACCCCCCTCTTCAACCCTCTTTCCTTCACTCCCTTCCTCCTTCCATCCATCCCACCCCACTCCTTGCCCCTCCCTCTTTTCCTCAATCCCCCCGATTCGCTTGCACCACGGCTTTTTTGCAACTCCCATTCGCAGCATGCACACTGGACCCAGAGACTGTCAGCACGGTGATGTCAATCAAGATGTAAGCTCGCCTCTGACTCGACTGCATCAGAGAGCACCACCATGGAAAGTTGCCATTCGCACGGGGAATGAAGAGGAGGACGATCACGACGAGGACGAGGTGATGCCGTATGTGACAAGGAGGTCTGGACAAAAGTGGCGTCTACATAACAAAAATTTGACACAAGATGCGAAGACTGACCTGTGATCTCCGCTCTTGGCACACGAGCTGCTTTGTGCAGAATGAGGAAAGGGGCCCACCAATTTCGGTGTTTGAAACAAGTGCCCATCAGAGCAGCTGCGATGTGCGGCTCAAATTTTCACCACTCCATGTGTGGGAGCTGCCCACTGTTTTACCCCCGTGGTCATATTCCCCACGGGAGCAATGAGTCCCCGCTCTGGAGTGGTTAACGAGCCGGCCAAGATGGAAAGCATCGCGCTAAAAAATACTACGGCGTGCATCTGCAACAAAAAATTGAACTGGGGTTGCAGGATCCGCACGGACACCTAGGCTTGCACTGAGCGGGTGGCACCACATTGCGCTGCTCTAGATCCACCCAGGCTGCCTCGTTGGGCAACCAGACATGGATCGTATTAGCAGCACCGCGCTTCACTCTGCCCGTGTTGCCGCGGAGTCATTGGAAGTGATGGTTGGGGTAAAAAAGCTCCAGGCAGACAGAACCTTCCGAGGTCAGAGGTCATCCCTCACCACCGCTTCAGGAACCGATGCCCCGGGACCTCTGGAGGCACCGGGTGTGAAAATTTCGGGGGGGCCTAAGAGGGGGGAGAGATGTGTTCCATGCCCGCTGCCTCCCGAAGTCCTGAGAAGTTGGCCGCACCAGCAATGAAAATCGTTTAACCGATCCCCATCCCCAGCGGCGTGGCCTGGGTGGGCCCCACTGGCCGATGTACCCCCCTGGATGGGGATATAGGCCGCCCCCTTGGAGTTTCGAGGGGTGTATCCCCAACTGGGGGGGAACTCGGTGGGGGTCTCGAAGGGGATGGGGATAGGGACGGGGGTCGGATAAACGATACTGAATCAGAGGGGTTGCTGGATTGACTCCGACCCTGGACGTGCGAAGTCACTGCGCAGAAGATCAGGCCTCTCACGCGCGGACCTTGGAGAGCAGCCCCTCCCCGCCCCCCGGGCCGAAGCGGAGCCTGCTGCCGAGCCGGCTCGCCTGCTGGATCTCGAGGGCCGCGCCGACCGACGGCCCCGTCGCCCGATCGATCGACGGGCCACGTCCGACCGGCCCGCCGAGCCTCGATCCCGCTCGATCTCGAGGGCCGTGCCGACCGACGGCCCCGTCGCCGGGTCGATCGGCGGGCCACGTCCGACGGGCCCGTCGAGCCTCGATCGGCAGGCCGCGTCTCGGGAAGTCCGAGGAGGCCCGCCGGAGTCGGGAAGTCCGAGGAGGCCCGCCGGAGGCCCCAGGGAAGGGCCTTAAGAGCGTGTCCAGCCGTCTCGGCCCTCCCCGCCCCCCGGTCCTCGCCCCTGCGCTGGCGCTTCTCCTGGAGCGCGCAGCGGCGCTGGGCCGTCGCGATCGGGGCGGTGGTCCGTCCTCGGGCCGGGACGCGGGGCCTGGTGCGGCGGTGGCACCTGGGAGGGAGACTGCGCGGATGCGACGAGGCATCCTGAAGCGCAGCGGCTCCCGCAGTGGACGCGGCCGCCGGCGCAGAAACAAGAAATGCCCTCCCGCCATCCTCCCCCCACGCACGCCTTCCGTCCTGCTCGGCCGAGGCTGACCTCGATCGGCTGGTGCCTCCCCTACTTCTGCACTCCTGCTGAGGCCCCGACGTCCCTCGCCTCGCACTTCCGGGACGACGGTGCCGCCCTGCCGCGCGTCAGCCTCCTGACGAACCTGATGCGCACCTTCTGGCCAGCCTTGGTCCTCCACGGGGCACCCGCGGGGGGGAAGGGAGGCACCTTGGAACCACGGGTGACAGCCAGCAGATCCACTGCCAATGCTAGAAGAAGAAAAGACGCATAAACATAAACATAAAAGGAAAAAAAACGCATAAAATGAAAAAACGCAAAAACGCCAATGCTAGAAAAGAGAAAAAACGCATAAAGAAAAAGAAACTGTTCGGCGCTCCGTGCAGATTTCTTGGATCCGCGCTGTGCCCCCCTCCCTGGCGCGCGGAGCGCGCCAGGGGCGGCGCCGGAGGCGCCGCCAGGGGGCTCCCAGCGCGGATCCAAGGAATAGGCGCGGAGCGCCAAAAGTTTGTGTTTACGTGCGTGTTCCTTCCTCGTAGTGTGGACACCGAGGCGCGATCGCATGAACACGCCGCCCGATGGATACCTTCGGCGCGCGGCACCCTCGCGACGCCCCCCGCTGCCGAGGATCCTAGGGTTAAGTCGGGCCTGTCCCCCCACAGGGGGATTTTGGGCGAACCACAAAAACTACTCAAAAAACTACTCCCGAATGGTCCAAAACAGTCCAAAGATCGTCCCCAGGCTATTTGTTGACTATTTTTGAATATTTGGGGATGGACAGAACCCCCTTTCGTAAAGCGTGGTCTAGTGAAAACGACCTCGGGCCCAAACCTGGCGGGCGGAAGCCTGGAAACTGACGGCCGCGGCACCCTCTCGAGAACCGAAAACGGACAATTCACTACCGTCGGGGTATCGAACTAAGGAACCCTAAACAAGGAACGAGGCCCCTTTTCCCAGAAGCTGAACTTCGATTTCCCGTGGAAGACCTCAGGAACACGTGAGGCAAACTGTAAAGCAATCAGGGAACACCGAGCCCCTCCCCAACGAGAAGGGGTTCTTCCTCAGCGCCCCGGCTGTACTCGCCGTGTCAGGGTGGGAGGCCTGTCCGCCCCCGAAACACTCGCCCCCTGTGTGGGGGCGCGGCCGAGCAGCCCAGCCCGCGAGGCCGCGGGCACGGGCCTCACCCGCTTCCCGCCCGCGGCTGCAAATCGGGAGGGGGGGAAAAAAAACACAGACACCAGGAATCGCCGACTCCCAGGAGAAGATGGGAAACTATGGGAAGTGGGGGGGAAGACGAGGATCCAGAAAACATGTGGAGAAAAGATCGGGGAATCCTGGGATCTCTGTGTGTATTTCTTTGTGTGTCCTTGGGCCCCTTGATGCAAGCGAGGCCCCGTCGGCAGAGGCGCCTCGGGGAGGAATGGAGCCGGACAAGGCTGCGCATTCAGCGCGCGTGGGAGGCGCTGCTTCGCGGGCATAGAGCATCAGCATCGGCGAGGTCCTTCTGATGGGCCTGTTTTCTATAAATTGGAGGGGGAGGGGTCCTCCTCACCCTCTTCTTCCTCCTCCTCCTCCTCCTCCTCCTTCTCCCTCCAACTTATGGTGGTGGTGGAAAACATGCCCATTACCTTCGCCCCTCGAGCAGCAAGAGAAGACGAAAACGATTGCCGGGAGGAGAGGGAACACCTGGCTTGGCCACCTCGCCAACCACGAACGCTCGTTTCTCGTGGCTGGGGGTAGGCTGACCATACATCACCTCGCACACGATTCTCCAGAGGCGCTGCAATTGAGGGAGTTGCAGAAGAGGAGAGTTGTGGAATCCTTCAAAGATCCTGAGAGGCTCCCAGGAGCTACTGGAGGCCCCAAAGGGGCACAACACCCAAAACTGTAAGACTCGAAGAGAACAAGGAGGAGGACAAGGAGACAAGCCAGAGTAACTCAACCCCGAAGAGCACCTTGGTTCCCCTCCCGTCATCCTCGCAAGGGCGCCCCCGGCCGCGTCGAGGAGCTCCTGTAGGCGTTGGGCTACAAGGGGTCGCTGTCAGCGTCGTCGCCGTCGTTCCTCTCCTCCCCGGAGCTCCCCAGTGGTTCATTTTGACAAGCAAATCCATAAAGGGGAATCCAGCCGTGACGGCGAGAAGGAAACCTTCCGAGGCCAGAGAATTGCAAAACAAAACAAAACAAAACAACTAACAAACAAAGTCCTGGAATCGCGATGCGGCCTACGACACAAATCCTCATCTGGATCCCGTGGCGCAAGGAAGCACTTCCGGCTGCAACCTCCAGGCGGGCCCCGGGACGAACCACATGCTGAACCCTTGGGGCTCGACAGTCGGTTCGATCATCCACCTCCTCTCCAGCCTCGAGCCTCCAAAAACCTGAACCCCCCGAGAGCCCTCGATCCCCGAACCTCCGGGATCTTCGAGCCTCACTCCTTCGGCTCGCTCCTCGATCGGCCCGGCCTCAGGTCGGGCCTGTCCCTCTACATGGGGGAAGATTCAAAAACAGGACAAACAGAATAGTCGGGGAAGGACTTGTGGAGCATGTTTGACAAGTGTTGCATATGCTTGGGGTATGTCTTACTTCTCGCCCAACCCCCCCCCCTGTAGGGGGACACGCCCGCCCGAAGTCCAGCCCCAGAAAGGGGCCCCTCCGAGGGCCCCTCCTGGGGCCTCCGGCCGCGCCGCCAGGGCCCGCCAGGGGGCGAACACCAAGAAACTGGGCGCTGCAACAGCAGGTCGGGCGCGTCCCTCGACAGGCGGATGGTGGACGAGAGGCACAACAGACCCCAGCAAATACTCCAGAATGACCCAACGTACCCCAACAAATACTCCAGAATCCTGCTTAGGGACCGCGTCCCAGAAATGATCCGCAAGGGCTTCGCCCCCTGCCGCCGGCACCCTCTCTCGGAAAATGGGCCATGGCAGAGCGAAGTCATGAGGCTTTGGCTTTGCCGTGAAGCAGTGTCGGGACCTATTTGTTTTTCGACCCTGATCCTGCCGATCTGCGTGAGGGGTGCCGCCGGATTTCAGACATGTGGCAAATCCCTTCTGTTTTTGGACCCTGGCCCGACGGATCTGCGTGAGGGGTGCCACCGGATTTCAGAAATGTTTCAAATCCCATGTGATTTTGGACCCTGACCCCGCCGATCTGCGTGAGGGGTACCACCGAATTCCAGAAATGTGGCAAATCCTTGGGGCGCCTTGTCGGGCCGCTGCGGAAGCGCTCCCGCTCGCACCAGCTCGCACGGAATGCTTGTCGGGCCGCTTCGGATACCCCCCGCTCGTGCAGGCTCCCGCAGAATGCTCGTCGGGCCGCTCCAGGGGGTGTCGTGTGTCTTGTGTGTGTTCTGTGTGTTGTGTGTGTGTGTGTGTGTGTCGTGTGTCTTGTGTGTGTGTTGTGTGTGTGTGTGTTGTGTGTTGTGTGTGTGTTGTGTGTTGTGTGTGTGTTGTGTGTGGTGTGTGTGGTGTGTGTGGTGTGTGTGGTGTGTGTGGTGTGTGTGGTGTGTGTGTGTGGTGTGTGTGTGGTGTGTGGTGTGTGTGGTGTGTGTGTTGTGTGTGGTGTGTGTGTTGTGTTGTGTGTTGTGTGGTGTGTGTTGTGTGGTGTGTGTGGTGTGTGGTGTGTCTTGTGTGTTGTGTAGTGTGTGTTGTGTGTTGTGTGTTGTGTGTTGTGTGTTGTGTGTTGTGTGTTGTGTGTTGTGTGTTGTGCGTTGTGTGTATTGTGTGTTGTGTGTGTTGTGTGTATTGTGCGCACTGTGTGTGTTGTGTGTTGTGTGTGTGTTGTGTGGTGTGTGTTGTGTGTTGTGTGTGTTGTGTGAGTTGTGTGTTGTGTGTGTGTGTGTTGTGTGTGTGTGTGTTGTGTGTTGTGTGTTGTGTGTTGTGTGTTGTGAGTGGTGTGTGTGTTGGTGTGTTGTGTATTGTGTTGTGGTGTGTGTTGTGTGTGTTGTTGTGTTGTGTGGTGTGTGTTGTGTTTGTGTGTGTTGTGTGTGTTGTGTGTGGGTGATGTGTGTTGTGTGTGTGTTGTGTGTTGTGTGTGTGTGTTGTGTGTGTTGTGTGTTGTATTGTTGTGTATGTTGTATGTATTGTGTGTTGTGTGTGTGTGTTGTGTGTGTTGTGTGCTGTGTGTTTATGTGTGTTGTGTGTTGTGTGTTGTGTGCTGTGTGATGTGTGTGTTTGTGTGTTGTGTGTTGTGTGCTGTGTGCTGTGCGTTGTAGTTGTGTGTTGTGTGTGTGTGTGTTGTGTGTTGTGTGTTGTGTGTTGTGTGTTGTGCGTTGTGTGTTGTGTGTGTTGTGTGTGTTGTGTGTATTGTGCGCACTGTGTGTGTTGTGTGTTGTGTGTGTGTTGTGTGGTGTGTGTTGTGTGTTGTGTGTGTTGTGTGAGTTGTGTGTTGTGTGTTGTGTGTGTGTGTGTTGTGTGTGTGTGTGTTGTGTGTTGTGTTGTGTGTTGTGTGTTGTGTGTTGTGTTGTTGTATGTGTGTGTGTGTGTTGTGTATTGTGTGTTGTGTGTGTTGTGTGTTGTGTGTTGTGTGTGTTGTGTGTTGTGTGTGTGTGTGTTGTGTGTGTGTGTTGTGTGTGTTGTGTGTTGTGTGTGATGTGTGTTGTGTGTGCGTTATGTGTTGTGTGTTGTGTGTGTTGTGTGTTGTGTGTTGTGTATGTTGTGTATGTTGTATGTATTGTGTGTTGTGTGTGTTGTGTGTGTTGTGTGTTGTGTGTTATGTGTGTTGTGTGTTGTGTGTTGTGTGCTGTGTGATGTGTGTTGTGTGTTGTGTGTTGTATGCTGTGTGCTGTGCGTTGTACGTTGTGTGTTGTGTGTGTTGTGTGTTGTGTGTTGTGTGTTGTGTGTTGTGTGTTGTGCGCGTGTGCGCGTGTGTTGTGTGTTGTGCGTTATGTGTTGTGTGTTGTGTGTTGTGTGTTGTGTGTTGTGTGTTGTGTGTTGTGTGTTGTGTGTGTGTCTCCTTCCTGACAACGGTTCAGTCGGGCCTGTCCCTCGACAGGGGGAATGCTCAAAAAATGTCAGAAAGAATAGTCTGGGGACGATTGTTGGACTATTTTTGCCTATTTGGAAGCTATTTGTTGGGCGCATTTTGTTATTTGTCGCCCAAAATCCCCCTGCAGGGGGACACGCCCGACCTAACCCAACGGGCAGGATCAGTCAGCATCGGGTCGGGATATCGGATCGGATCGACGTGTGCCTCGGGCCCCCAAGGTTAGGAGGCAACTACTGGGAGGTCTTCGTCGGAAGGATGAAAAAGGATTAACGCCCCATTGGGGGGCTGTTACGCCGGAGTGGGCCTCGGATTCAGCCGGGCTGAGCCGGATTGGGCGGGATTCAGCGGGATTGAGCCAGATTAAGCGGGATTAAGCCAGATTAAGCCCGACTTGAGACAAGGGCAAAATCAGAATTTGACCTCCCAGGAGTTGCACCCGAACCAAGGGGCAGGATCAGTCCGCACCGGATCGGGATATCGGATCGGATCGACATGTGCGTCGGGTCGGTCTGCAGCGCCACGCCCTCGACACCGAACCGGACTGGCCGCGCCAGCATGCGCAACAGAGCCAGGCGAGCATCGGGCCTCATCGAGCCGCCGGAACCTAGAACTCGAGTCGGATCGGGCCGGCCGAGATCGGCATTGAATCGAATCCATCGGATCGGACCTAGGACGAAAATGGCGTCATCCTTTCTAGTGTCGGCGTGCTGGCTTACGAGCGCCTCCCACGCCGCCCACCGGCCGTTTACGACCAGTAGGGCCATCGAGCCTGCAATCCCAGAACGGGGCTGGCGCTGCTCTACACCCGCGTTCCGCCGCCGGCTCCCGGCAGTCTGTGCTGCGCGGCGACGGCGGGGGCGAGAGCGGGGTCACGATACGACTGGCTCAGGATGCGTTCCAGGAGCTCCAGAGCATGTGGCGGACCGCGTGGAAGATGCCTTTCCAGACATGCGACGTCCTGATTTTTTCAGGACGGCGCCCCTGGAAGTCCTGACCCTTTCCCTGGGACCGGCTTTTCGCCCAGACTAGTCGTTGTTTGACAGTCCCGAGGCCCGGCGCGGGCCCACCGGGGCCGAAAATAGCCAAAAAACTTCCCGCCCTGATTTTTTCACGACGCGATCATGTCTGGGTTTGTAGGAAATCGAACGAATCCTGGACATCCTGGAACGTACCACATCACGACCCCGCACTCCTCTGGGACAGTGGCCCCAGCTGGGCCCCCGAAGGCAGCCGTCCCGAGGCTCCCCGGTGGGGGCGCGTCCTGCGCGCACGCGGCGAGGTGCTCCGCGGGCCCGCCAGCCCCGAGCAGGTCGTCCAGGATCATCGGAAGGACCTCGGCCCGCTCCGCCGTAATTGGAGGGGGTCTCCTCCTCCGCCTGCTGCTGGTCCTGAAGGCTGTCTCGGTCTGCTGCCCCGGCGTCCGGCACGGAAGGGGGCATTCTGACATGGGCTCGCTTGTGGCCTCCTCCTGCTCCTCCTCCTCCTCCTCCTCCTCCTCCTCCTCCTCCTCCTCCTCCTCCTCTACCTGCTCCTCCTCCTCCTCGTCCTCCTCTACCTGCTCCTCCTCCGGCCTCCGACAGGGCCAGACGGCGCAAGAGCGCCACAAGACGGCCCAAGACCCAAGACTCCCCCAAGAGGCCCCATGAGGCCCTAAAGAAGCTGCCAAGAGGCCCCAAGAAACCCCGAAGAGGCCTCAAAGAGGCCCCCACCAGACCCCGCAACGACTGGACTGCAGTGGCGACTTTCGCGGGCTGTGCCGCCCGTCGCCGCCGTCGCCGTCGAATAGATATTCTCCTTGCTAAAAAGATGTTAGACTCTACCCCCCCGGGGATTATCGGTACCCCAATTTTTCGTATTGCAATTTACATATGATTTTGCCCGATCGTCCATCCTAAACATGAAGTCGTACCATCCCAGCCCATTCTGTATCGCCCCCCCCCGTCATCCTCAGCAAAAGATACTATGTGCGCACACTCGTGTATCGAAAATCCTGCGTTTACGGACACCCCTGGCGAACATGAAACGAAGTGCACACGCGCGCGTCGTCGCGCGCGCATGCCGAACTCATATATATATATATATATATATGTATATATGTATGTGTGTATGTGTATATGTTTATATATACATATACATATATACAGACATACATCCATACATACATACATACATACATACATACATACATACATGCATGCATACATACATACAGACATACATACATATATGCATAAATACATACATGTATATATATATATATGTATAGATATATATGTATATATATAATAACTAAGTATGTAACACTCGTACCTTGGAGGGGTGCACGAAGCTCCCGCAATAGGGCTAGAAGGGCGCTCTGGAGTGCTCCACTAGGGCCATGGAGGCTTTCCGTATATTGTAATGGTGCCGCCCGAGAGCTTTCTCACTCTGGAGGGAGCCTGGATCGGGGGCGGATCGCAAGACGTTGTAGATGAGGAATGCCAGCACTATCCTCTCGCCGATCTCAGGCGTCGGGAAGCAATCGAACCCGAGACGCGTAGAGGGACGGAGGGGAGGCGGGCCAGGGTGGTATACAAGCCTCCAAAGTGCTGGGCATTCAACATCGCGAGTCATGTCGTCCTTACATCCTGCACGTCCAAAAAGGCATGGACGCAACACCGAGGAGTACAGCCTGCGGCTGGTGAGCCAGCCTCCAACTACTGTCTTGGCCACGGCACTCTGCCAGGCGGGGGGTCCCCCATCTCGCGCCAGGTCTCTGAGGGACTCCCAGGCATTCTCCGAAAATGGGAGGCCCCAGTACTCCACGCGCTGTCGAAAGGCGAGGTGGGGGACGTCAGGGTAGAGGGAGCGGAGCGAGGAGGAGAGGACCCTCTGCACGCGTCCCCGCTCTTGGGGTGCATTTGAGGCAGAGGTCGAGACATCAGGGCGCAGGTCAGTCATTCGACCTCTGCTCGGCTCGACTTGTAGGGCGGCGAGGGCCGAGCGCGCGGCAGCCGCGTGCTCCGTCGCGGGGAAGGCGGCCTCGTGGGCCTCAGCGATCTGCAGGGCCAGCGGGGCCGCCTTCAGCAGCGAGAGCTGCTCCGCCCAGTTGCTGATGGTCGCGCGCGCCGCTCGCACTCTGGTCGCCATGCTCGTCGCAGGCGTGCCGGCAGGCCTGAGCACGGACCCGCTGCCAAGGCCATGCAAGCCCGCTCTGGACATGGCCTGCGGCGGCAAGCGCCAGAGCTCGGGTCGCGCCCACGCCTCGCGTCGGAGGAGGGACCTCGGTAGCGGCGCGAGCTGCATCAGGTAGCTCAAGACCGTCGGCACTCTGGAGCCGCAAACCAGCGTCGCCAGATGGACGGGCGCTCTCTCGGCGGCCAGGGCCCGAACGCGGTGGATCCACTTGGCCCCGGCCTCCCGCCGCGCGACGTTGGCCGAGGCGCTGGGGCCGATGGCGACGCCCAGGTACTTCGCGAACGGGACCGCATCCATCAGCTCCCTGCCAGGAAGGGCCGACGCGAGCCAGGCCTTGGCGTCGGCAGCGATCTCTGGGGAGCAAGCAGCACGCAAGGGAATCACCTTGCACTCGGCTAGCTTCAGCGACAGGCCAGCGAGGACCTGCGCCGCCAGGAACACCCTCTGGAGACGGACCAGCAGCCGGCGGCCCTGCAAGGCGGCGCCGATGTCGTCTGCGCAAACGCCGATCGCGAACGAGGCCCAGGCCGCCAGGACCGCCTCCATGTGGACCGCGAAGGGGTTGACGGCCACGGCCCACAGACTGCCCGACAATGCGCATCCTTGCGCGATGCCCGCCGCGATCAGCATGAAACGGCGCAGCGCGCCCTCCAATGAGACCAACGCCACGGGCACCCAATACATGCCCATGATAAAATGGAAGAGGCCGCCCTTGAAGCCCGAGCGCTCGAGGACAGCCCGCGGGGAGGATACCGCCGACGACGGGGAGGCGCTGCCGAAGTCGAAGAGGACCAGCAGCGGCATGCGCTGATCTCTGGAGGAGGAGAACCCCACTCGACGAGCAGCACTGTCGAGAAGGGCGATGTTGTCCAGGAAGTTCCGTCCAGGCAGAAACCCCGTTTAGGACGCAGGGGAATGCTTCTCGATGTTAAACTTGATGCGGTTGTTGACGCTGGCCGCGAGAAGCTTCACGTCGGTGCTCTCGAGGGCCAGTGGCCTCGTGGTCGAGGGCGAGCGCGTCGGCCCCGAGGCCAGTTCGTCGCCCTCCACGCCCTTGTGAGCGATGGCCATCAGGTGGTCATTGAAGTCGGGCGGCGGTGGAAAGCCTTGGGCGATCGCGACGCCCGCCAGGGCCGGGTCCTCGAGAGGCTTCGAAGAGCCGCAGCAGCTCCAGGCCTCGTAGGGAAGGCCGTCTCGCCCAGGGGGCGATGCCCGAGCCACGCGAACAGCACGCTGACGGCATTCGTATATATATATATATATATATATACACGCAGCACCCCGCAGTTGCGGACATGAGCGAGGGGCGCCGAGGACGTCGTCAGTCTGCGAGGCTCCGGAGAAGCCCGCCGCAGACGCCTAACCTAGGCGCCGAGTTCTGCGTTGCAGCAAAGCGGGTAGATCGCGGGGCGGGTCGCGGATGGGTCGGGGGTGGGCCGCGGGTGGGCCGCGGGTCGGGTCGCGGATAGGTCGCGGGCGGGTCGGGGATGGGTCGCGGGTGGGTCGGGGGTGGGTCACTGGGTGGGTCGCGGGGCGGGTCGCGGGTGGGTCGCGGGGCGGGTCGCGGGGTGGGTCGCCGGTGGGTCGCGGGCGGGTCACGGGGCGAGTCGCGGGGTGGGTCGCGGGGTGGGTCGCGGGGTGGGTCGCGGGGTGGGTCGCGGGGCGGGTCGCGGGGCGGGTCGCGGGGCGGGTCGCGGGGCGGGTCGCGGGCGGGTCGCTGGGGGGACGACGACGACAACAACAACTGCAACAAGCAGAACCCCCCCGCGGATACCCACTTCAGCCACGCAACTCGGAACAAATAATGAGCGTTCGGCCCCTTCACTCTGATATTTGTGTTATATATAATATAAAACAAATGTTTCAATACTGGCTGTCCAAACAACATTCAAAAAACGCATGGCTTCGCAACGCGGGTTTTCAATCAAAAAACTTGCGCGCGCTGGTTGTCCAACATGATTAGGAAATTATACCAAACGGGCTTCGCGCGCGCATGTCGAAATCTTTCGAACGCCCTTGCACGCGTGCTGGGGTGCAACGATCCGTGTCAAATAATACCATGCGGGCCACTCTCGCGCGTCTGCCGCGCGCGCATCTCGAACTCCTTCCAACGCCTCCATCGCCGACGCGAAGACGCCGTCATCGTCGCCGGCGTGATCAGCATCTGCGCCGTCACTTGCTGCCCCGTCGTCGCTGTCAGCATCGTCGCCAGCGTCGCTACTATCATCGTCGCGCCAACCGTTGTCGACGTCGCCGTGATACCGCGCCCGCCCAAGTCGCCTATTCGCATTGAAGTGCCCGCTCAGTGTCTCTCAGAGCCAACGCGTTCGCGTCGGTCGCGCCAAACTAGCCGGGCGCCGCGCGCGCGAGCATGCGCGGGCTAGTGCGGCCGCAGAGACGCACCGGCCAACGCCGCGCACTTATCGAAATCGTTTCCCCATGGGGCGGGTGGGATGATTGCGCGAGCAGTGGGCTTGACAATTTCAAATTCGGCAAGCGAATTGCACTACACAGGTTGCATCGCATGGACTGCATTGCGTAGGTTGCGCTGCGTATATCCCCCTTTCTAAAAACAAAACAGAACCCCCCCCCCTCGGAACATCGGCGCCCTTTGCGCATTGCAATGTACGTATGATTCTGCCACGTCGCCCTTCCTGAACACGAGCTCATGCCATCCCGTCCCAACCGGCATCGACCCCCTCGCCATTCTCTGCAAAACAACTACGCGCGCACACTCGTAGATCAAGAATTCATGATTTGTCAAAAACCGTTGCAAACATATAAAAAAATGAAGTGCACGCGCGCGCGTCGTCGCGCGCGCATGCCAAAATCCTTTCAAAAACCTTAGGTGTCGTAAGGACTTCAAAACCGAATGCTAAAAAAACATTCCGAAACACGTGGTTTCGCAGCACGGATGTGCGAAAAAAGGGCGCGCGCGCGCGCTCTTGCGACTGAAAAATAAATTGCTTGGTTTGTTTTTCAACTGTTCCAAAACATGCTTCCAAACGGGCTGCGCGCGCGTCGAAATCGTCCGAACGCGTTTGCGCGCGTGCCGTCACGAGGGCCCGTTGCAAGACATTGGACGCAGTGAACGCGCCCGCGTCGTCGCGCGCGCATGCCGGAATCCTTCAAAAACCGTTGGTTTCGTAACGATGT